TCGTTTAGTTAAAGATAATTGTGAAACTTTCTTTAGTAATTTATTTGACTCATCTCAACACTCACTCACATCTTCCACCATGGCTGATAATGAAAGCATACACGATGAAAATGAAAACCAACAAGTACGAACCATGCGTGATTACTTGCAACCTCCTCGAAATTCTGCTCCTTCATGTTTCATTTTTCCTCTTAATGCTAATAATTTTCGATTCAAGCCGGGTATGATTCCATTACTTCCTAATTTTCATGGCTTAGAATCCGAAAGTCCATATTTGCATCTTAAAGAATTTGAGGAAGTATGTGCAACATTTAACGATCAAACTTGTCCCAACGAAATTGTTAAGTTGAAATTGTTTCCTTTTTCTCTAAAAGATAAAGCAAAAACTTGGCTTAACTCTTTAAAACCTAGGTCGATTGGCACATGGCAAGAAATGCAAAGTGAGTTTTTGAAGAAATTCTTTCCAGCACATAAAACTAATGCTTTGAAAAGACAAATCCAAAATTTTTCTCAAAAAACCAATGAAGCGTACTTTCAATGTTTAGAAAGATTTAAAGATTTGTTAAATACATGCCCACATCATGGTTTTGAAAAATGGCGTACTATAAGTTTCTTTTATGAGGGCCTAACTCCTGAAACAAAATAATTTGTAGAAACGATGTGCAATGGCGAATTTTTAGATAAAGATCCAGATGAAGCTTTAGAATTTCTAGATCATCTAGCTGAAAATTCTCAATCTTGGCAAACAGTAAAACCAATCGAAAACTCAATTAGATCTAGTCTTGCTAGTTCTAGTGGAGGAAAATATCAATTGAGTCAAGATGATGATCTAAATGCTAGGATTGCTAGTTTGTCTAGAAAGGTTGAAGCTATGGAATTAAGGAAAGTAAAGGAAGTTAAACCCGTGCAAAATGATGAAATTTGTAGCATTTGTGAAACTTTTGGTCATCTTACGCATGATTGTCCTAACATTCCAGTTTTCAAAGAAGTTTTATATGATCAAGCCAATGCTATGAACACTTTCAAAAAGCCTTTTTCTTCTCCATACTCAGAAACATATAATCAACAATGGAGAAATCATCCCAACTTTAGTTGGAGAGATGATAATCGTGTTCATTTATCACAACCTCAAGGGCTTTCGAAATTTCCTTCTTTTCCACCACCACAATCAATGACTCTTGAGGAAACATTGCAGTCTTTTATGCAAGGACAAGCAAATATTAATAATCAAACTTCACAAGCCATCAATGAAATCAAGAACACACTTTCTTCATTGACCTCTTCTTTGCATTCTCAAGAGAAAGGCAAATTTCCTGCTCAACCTCAACCAAATCCTTCTCAGCAATATAATGTAAATGCTTCTAGTTCTTCTGAAAGTCAACAACAAAATGCCAACTCCATCACGACTCTTCGTAGTGGAAAAATTATTGACAAAACCATCCCTTCAAAAGAACTAAAATCTGGTGGTACTTCAAAGCAAGAAAATGATGTTTCCAAAAGTGAGGAAAAGATCATTTCTGAACCTATTGTTGAAAAATGTCCCATTCCAGCTCCATTTCCTCAACAATTGCTACCAATTTCAAAACTCAACCACAATTCTGAAATTTTTGAACTTTTTAAACAAGTCAAAATTAACATACCATTATTGGATGCAATCAAACAAGTACCTTCATATGCAAAATTTTTAAAAGACTTGTGCACTGTTAAGAGGAAACTTAATGTTCAACAAAAAGTATTTTTAACAGAGAATGTGAGCTCGATCGTTCAACAAAACACTCCACCTAAATTCAAAGATCCTAGTTGTCCAACAATTTCTTGTGTGATTGGGAATAACAGGATAGAGCGTGCTTTGCTTGATCTTGGTTCTAGTGTTAATCTATTACCTTTTTCTGTGTATGAGCAACTTGGTTTGGGAGAGCTTAAGCCAACAACAACAACACTTCAACTTGCTGATCGTTCAGTAAAAGTTCCAAGAGGGGTTGTAGAGGATGTTCTAGTTCAAATTGATAAATTCTATTTTCCTGTTGATTTTATAGTTTTGGACACACATCCTGTTTTAAATTCGAATGCACAAATACCTGTCATTCTAGGACGTCCCTTTCTTGCTACTTCAAATGCGTTGATAAATTGTAGAAATGGTATTTTAAAACTCTCTTTTGGAAATATGACCGTGGAAATGAATATTTTTAACATTTGCAAGCAACATGGAGATGAAGATGATTTGCATGAAGTAGATCTTATTGAACAACTTGTTGATGATCAATTTATCGCTACATCTTCATATGATGCGCTTGAATTTGAATTCAATGATAATTCTAAAAATTCGCAAGTGATTTCAAGTGTTCAAGAACCAAATCTCGATTTGAAACCATTTTTTGAGAATTTCTCTAAATTGGAAGAGTCTGTTGCTATACATGATTCTAAAGATTGATATCCTTTTCTTTTTATTTTATTTTGTATGTTTATTTTCAGTTTTATAATGTTGTGTGTTTTTTTTAGGTGTGTTTCTTTTATTGTTGTTTCTTTTTTTTCTTTTTTTTTTTTCTTTCACTATTGAAATTGAAGGATCATTTAGGCTAAGTTTATGCAGACTTTCCAGGTAAAGCTCTAAATTCGTCCCTTTGTTCAAAATTTTGCTCCTTATTGTCCTTCATATATTTTGCACATTTAATCTTTACATTGAGGACAATGTTTCATTTAGGTTGGGGGAAAGGAATCAAAATGTTCAAAAAAAAAAAAAAATTTCTTACTGACCGATGATAATATTTGAAATTGTTTTTATATTATTATGACTAGGGGATGCTACTTTGATTTAGTTTAAGCTTGTTCATGTTAGATTGATCTACATTGAGCACAATATTCATGAAAATCACATATTATTTAGATTGGATCAATGGATAGAATATGTAGAATTAAGTATGACCCAAAAAAAAAAAAAATCCACTAAACCAATTATATGATAGTTTGGGGTGGTTGAGCTATTGTGGGGAAACATTGAGATAGATGTGGATTCCATGTGTGTTAAATTTTGTGTGGATTGCTTAAGACCAATGAGATGATAATTAGGTAAAAATCTTAAGTTAAAGATCGATTTTCGAGAATAAGTGTTTAATGAGGGGCATTGCACTAATCATTGCATAGAAGGGAAAAAGCTGCCATGTTGTGAAGCTACCCTAAAAGAGCCCAATGAGGACAATTATAAACATAAAAAGAGATAGGCTAGTGCATGAAACAGAATACACACGGCAAACTTGAAAAAAAGCAGGTTCATGAAACAGAAGACGCACTACATGCCTTGATTAAGTCCCAAACACTTATTTTAGAGAATTAGACCTTTGATAAGGGATTAGTAACTTAGTTGATTCTTGGAGGTTAAGTCAGTCAAAATTAAGGAGAATCCTCATTTATTGATGTGTTGAGCTACAATTAGTAAAATCTAACCAAACTAGAGAGGGTGAGTAATAGTATAAATCACACCTTGGGAAAATAGTTAGAAAATCAAGTTTGAGGGTGTGCATCCAACGAGCGAAGAGCGAAATAATTGACCATTGAGGGTCGGGATGAGTCCAATTTAAAAAAGTATGTGATTGAATTGATTATGCATTCCATAAATACATGGTTAAAAATGCAATTAATTGAAATACGTATTTACATACATGGTGGCATGAGTATTATACATTTGAAAGAGTATCTATTTGATGTATTTCACTTGTATTTCCAAATTAGAACAAGTGGAGCAAGTGGAGGAAAATAATGTTGAAAAGTCAAAAATAGTGACTGCCTCAAGCAAGAAGCAGCTATCTGTAAAATGATCATAATTTGAGCTTCAGACATTGGATCGAGGTGATTCAAGTTGGGTTGGAAAGACAAGGCACGTTTCTACAACTTTCATGTTTTGGAAGAAGTCAAATTCGTATCACAAAGTAGCCAAAATTACCGTGAAAAGTCCAGCTTGTTACCTGCCGGATACAGCTTTACCTGTGAAGCAGCACTTATTGTTTTTGTCATATCTGGAGTTATATAGATCCAATGAACCTGATATTTAAACCAATGGAAATCTAACTCAGGTGGAAATAATTTATCTGTTGATCATAAGTCCAAATTCGCTGTACAATATATCTGAAAATTGGCATTAAGTTGCATGTTCCAGCTGTCTTGAAGCTGGACAGAAACAAGTTGTATTGCCTACTTGAATTATGGATGTTCCTTTGCCTATAAAAGGGGACCTTGGCCACGATTTTGAAGAATCAAATCCTCTCCATTATATTCTAGTTTCCTTCATTTTCTTTGTAACATTTCACTATGTATTTCTAAACATTTAGCTAGAGCTAGGGGTAAAACTTTGATGAATGTTTAGTATTGTCTTTGATCTTTCATTTTGTTCTTCAATGTTCATCTTCTTACTTGGTTGAAGTATATGTTCTACAAATGGTTTTGGTTTGTTAAAGACTTTGATTTATTGTTGACAATTTTGGCACAATAAATGCTTAGATAATCTCTACATTCCAACAACTTATTTTGACATATTCTCTCAAACAATTATCAAGATCTATCTTTTAACAAATTTGTGATCAATGTTTTATCTTCCATATGAGATCACTCCTTAGTTGATTTTCATATGAGTTAAATTAAAGATCAAGGACTTTCGACTTGGGAGGTCGGGTAACGAGACAGAGAGGGGCGAGCACTAATTTTCGGACACCCCGGCGATCCCCCACGAATGATGAGACAAATTAAAGATCAAGGGCAATTTCTACTCATTTATCCGAAGTGAATCCCTGACGCTCTAGTGTTCGTCTCAATCGTATTTCCACCAACCGTTTATTACTCATAGAATAGTTTATTTCCTTCCAATTCCCTGTGGTTCGACCTCGGACTTCCGAGATTTACTACTTGCGACAACCTGCACTTGGGTTTGCAACCTTAAAGTTGTAGCAGTGTTAAAAATTAGTGTACAAATAGCATTGTCTAATCAGTAAAGACCTTTCTACATGTACACTATGGCGTACACTTTAGTTTACACATTGCCACGTCACATTATCCTTTAGGGCAGTTTAAATTTCGAACAGTTTTCCAATCCAATTGACACTTGACAACAATGCAAGTGTCAAACGTGTCGAAAATCTGTGAACAAATAGCAAAGTTCGATCGGTAAGGACCTTGCTGCATGTACACTATGGTGTACACTTTAATTTACACTTTGCGATGTGACAATACCCTATTGGACAATTTAAATTTCAAATAGTTTTCTCATCCAATTGAAACTTGACAATAGTGTAAGTGTCGAACAACGTGTCAAAAATCAGTGTGCAAATAGCAATTTTCCCATCCAATTGACACTTGACAACAACGCAAGTGTCAAACAACGTGTTAAAAATCAGCGTACAAATAGCAAAGTTCAATCGGTAAGAACCTTGCTACATGTACACTACGGTGTACACTTTATCTTACACAATGCCACGTGACATTACCCTGTCAGACAGTTTAAATTTCAAGCTGTTTTCCCATCCAATTGACAGTTGACAACAATGCAAGTGTCAAATAACGTGTCAAAAATGAGTGTTCAAATAGCAGTTTTCCCATCCAATTGGCACTTGACAACAACGCAAGTGTCAAACAATATGTCAAAAATCAGTGTACAAGTATTAGTTTTCCCAACCAATTGACAATTGGCAACAATACAAGTGTCAAAAATCAGTGTATAAATAACAAAGTTCAATTGGTAAGAACCTTGCTACATGTATACTATGGTGTACACTTTTGTTTACACTTTACCACGTGACAATACCCTGTTGGACAGTTTAAATTTTGAATAGTTTTCTCATCCAATTGACACTTGACAACAATGCGAGTGTCAAAAAACGTGTGAAAAATCAGTGTACAAACTACAATTTTCAATCGGTAAGGACCTTCCTACATGTACACTACGGTGTACACTTTAGTTTAAACTTTGCTACGTGATATTAACGTATTGGATAGTTTAATTTGAAGCAGGTTTCCCATCCTATTAACACCTGACAACAATGTAAGTGTCAAACAACGTGTTAAAAATTAGTGTAAAAATAGCAAAGTTCAATATGTAAGGACGTTTCTATATGTACATTGTGGTTTACACTTTAGTTTACACTTTGCAAGTGACATTACCCTATTGGACAGTTTAAATTTCAAACAGTTTTCCCATCCAATTTAAACTTGATAACAATGTAAGTGTCAAACAACGTGTCAAAAATCAGTGTACAAATAGCAAAGTTCAATCAGTAAGAACCTTCCTACATGTATACTGTGGTGTACACTTTAGCTTACACTATACCACATGACATTACCCTATTGCACAGTTTAAATTTCAAATAGTTTTCCCATCCAATTGACACTTGAGAACAATGTAAGTGTCAAACAACTTGTCAAAAATAAGTGTACGAATAGCAGTTTTCCCATCCAATTGACACTTGACAACAATGCAAGTGACAAACAGCATGTTAAAATCAATGTACAAATATCACTTTTCCCACCCAATTGACACTTGACAACAATGCGAGTGTCAAAACAACGTGTCAAAAATCAGTGTATAAATGACAATGTTCAATTGGTAAGAACCTCGCTACATGTACACTATGGCATACACCCTGTTGGGCAGTTTAAATTTCTAAAAGTTTTCCCATCCAATTGACACTTGACAACAATGCAAGTGTCAAAAAACATGTTAAAAATCAGCGTACAAACTACAATGTTTAATCGATAAGGACATAGCCACACGTACACTATGGTGTACACTCTAATTTAAACTTTGCCACGTGACACTACCCTGTTGGATAGTTTAAATTTCAAAAAATTTTCCCATCAAATTGACACTTGAAAACAATGCAACGGTAAAAAATCAGTGAACAAATTGTAATGCTCAATCGGTAAGGACCTTCCTACGTGTACACTATGATGTACAATTTAGTTTAAACGTTGCCACGTGACATTAGCCTATTGGACAATTTAATTTCCAACAGTTTTCCCATCCTATTGACACTCGACAACAATGCAAGTGTCAAACAACGCGTTAAAAATTTGTGTATAAATGCAAGGACCTTTCTACATGTACACTATGGTGGAGACTTTAGTTCACACTTTGCCACGTGACGTTACCCTATTGGACAGTTTAAATTTCAAACGGTTTTCCCATCCAATTGACACTTGACAATAATGCAAGTGTCAAACAACGCATCAAAAATCAGTGTACAAATAGCAAAGTTCAATTAGTAAGAACCTTGCTACATGTACTGCATAGTGTACACTTTAATTTACACTTTGCCACGTGGCATTACCCCATTAAACAGTTTAAATTTCAAACAGTTTTCCCATCCAATTGACACTTGACAACAATGCAAGTGCCAAACAACGTATCAAAAATCAGTGCACAAATAGTAATTTTTCCATCCATTTGAC